TTTTTTCTGACTTATCCTTGAATTTTTTTCTGATTTTCCTGATTCATTGGAAGGGTGTACGCTGCTTTCATTTTATTGAAGTACCCCCAGTACCCCTCTGATTGTGCGGTCGTGTCATCTTGTGTCTCATTCTCTCGGTGGTGTCGTTCGACAGGACGCAACTTCGCGGCCAAGGTGATGCACGGCAAGGACATGCCCGACCTGCCGCTGCGCAAGTTCATGGAGAACGAGCTGGAGATGATGTCGCTGCTGCACCACCGCCGCCTCATCCGCCTGCACGACGCCTTCGACACGCACAACACGTTCACGCTCGTCACGGACCTGGCGGGCGGCGGCGAGCTGCTGGACACGCTCACCAGCCGCCCCTTCTACACCGAGTGGGACGTGGCGCACTACATCCGCCAGCTGCTCGAGGGCCTGGAGCACATGCACAGCCTCAACGTCGCCCACCTCGGGCTAACGGTGAGTGGCGCTGCTACACTGTCCTGGTCGTGCACAGATTGCACGAGTGGGTACCATTTTTTTCCGGGCGACGTAACTTCATCATAGCATGCGGAAAACCTTCTGCCCCCCAGGTCGGCGACCTGCTCATCTCCCACCCGGGCGGCGACGACCTCAAGATCTGCGACTTCGGCCTGGCGCGCCGCATCTCGTCGGCCGGGCTGCAGCCGCTGCTCTACGGCATGCCCGAGTTCGTGGCGCCCGAGGTGATGCGCGGCGAGGGCGTGTCGCTCAGCGCCGACATGTGGTCCGTGGGCATCATCACGTACCTGCTGCTCTCCGGGCACTCGCTGTTCCGCGGCGAGAACGACCGCGAGACGCTCACCAAGATCAAGGAGGGCAAGTGGTACTTCGACGAGGACCTGTTCAACAACTACTCGGCCGAGGCGCGCGACTTCATCACCAAGCTGCTCGCCTACGTGCCCGGCGCGCGTCTCAACGTGGAGCAGGCGCTCGACCATCCGTGGTTCAACATCCTGGGCAGGACGCCCTACGACCCGTACCGCATGAGCTCGGACGCGCTCAAGAACTACTACAACCTGTACAAGTAAGCACGGCGCGGGCCGTCTCGGAACCAACTCGGTTAATCTCTCGCTGTTGCGGACACGACTTGGAACTGTCGCCTCGGGGTTGTGTTGCAGGGACTGGTACAGCAACGCCTCCTGCCGCAACTGGTACCGCCGCCGGCCGCTCGAGGGGGCCTTCACGCACCCGTCCAAGATGGTGTACCCGCCGTACGAGCGCTACACACCGGCGCCCACCCCGGAGCGCGAGCCGTACAAGGCGCGCAACTGGGAGGAGGAGATCCACACCGGCGGCACCGACCTCAACTACGAGATCGGGCTCGTCAAGTCCGAGAGCCAGTGAGTGACGTGGGAGTGGCGGCGTCTTCCTGAAAGACACATCGCTTGCAATCCTCGAAATTCTCAGACCCTTTAAAAAGTTTTTACCATTTTGGCTCATTTTTTGATTTATAAAATTCTTTGTAATAACTACGTTTTGCGACCGCCCACAGCTACCAGAACGGCCCGGACACGTACCTGCTGCAGCTGCGCGACACGGACTTCCCCGTGCGCCTGCGCGAGTACCTCAAGGTGGCCGCCAACCGCGGCCCGGGCTACTCGCGCATCGTGTCGGACCAGAGCCACCTCGACTGGAGGGTGAGTGAGTGGGCCTCTTCACCGTAAAAGCAACAACAATTAAAAACAAAACCATAAGGAAGGACAGCTCTAAAATAAATATGTTTTTCTAGGCGCCGGTGATCCGAGAGCGGCGTCGCTTCACGGACGTGATGGACGAGGAGATCGACGACGAGCGTAAGGAGCGCATCAACAAGTACGGGTCGGGCGACGTGTACAGCCTGCGCCGGCTGCGACACGAGCTCGGCACCCGGCTGGACGGGCATGCCGAGGCCGAGGCCATCATGCAGACCAAGCACGAAGAGCACGACGGCCAGGTTAACAAAATGATTTTTTTTTATCGATTGTTTCACACTTTTTACCTTGGGATGGATTCCTGTCGCCTCCATTTCCCTAAAATCCATTTTTCAAAACTTGAGCTTTGAGATTATACAAGTAGAGTGGAGTCGTCTATCGGGCTTGCACACTGACATGCGCGCCGAAACTCTGTGCAGCTGCCCTTCTTCCGGGAGAAGCCGCAGACGGTGCCCATCGTGGCCAACGAGGTGGTGGAGATCGCGTGTCTGGCTGTGGGCGACCCCAAGCCCTTGGTGCAGTGGTACAAGTACGTAGTCGCGGGCACACGGTGTATGTAGTATTGGTAGAAAAAAAATTCACGTTCTCCTTTAAAACTGATCCCTCTCTTCCTCCAGGTGCGACATGGTGGTGCAGGAGACGGTCCGCATCTCGTTCAAGGAGGACGGGGAGGGCCGCAGCATCCTGCGCCTCGGCCCCGCGCACAACATGGACATCGGCATCTACAAGGTGGTGGCCCGCAACAAGGGCGGCCAGACGGTGGCGCGCTTCCGCGTCGTCCTGGCCGGCGTGCCCTCCTCCCCGGACTCCCCCGACGTGGCGGACGTGTCCGACGACGAGGTGTTCCTGCGCTGGAAGCAGCCCAAGGACGACGGCAACACCGCCGTCATCTGCTACTCCCTGCAGTACAAGGAAGTTGGTGAGCACACGTGTTTCGTATTAGATTACATTCCTTGGCACGGTTGGCGTCCTTTTCCAATATCTGAGAGATTTGTTGTTTTCCCTTCCCCCTTTTTAGATGGTGACCAGTGGCTTGATGTGGCAAAGAACATTGACCATGAGTTCTTTGTGGTGAAAAATCTTCAGCAAATGTCCCGATATTACTTCAGACTGGCAGCTAAGAACAGAGTTGGGTGGAGTGACTATGGTATTCCAATCAAGGTCAAAACCAAGCCAGCAGGTACATTTCTCAATCCAATTTTTTACACACATTCCAAAAGTTTAGTTGACTAAAATTATGCGCTTAATTATTGGATACTTGTTTACTTATCGAAACATTACTTGTTACATAGGAGTACCGAAGGTTCAGATCACCCGAGCGATGGCACATTTACAGTCCATCACAGAATCTGGTGCAGAAGTTAATGAAATGGAAGCTGCACCAAAATTAGACTACACCATTGAAAACCGACCTCTCAACTGGATTCCAGAACATGATGTGTCTGACAAGTACCACTTTATATCTGAGATATCAAGGTATTATTGCATTTCATTTTTCTTCCTCAGAACAATTAAAATCATTAAATGAAAATAATAATGTTGGTTTGCTTTTATCTTCTCTCTCAGAGGGCGATTTTCTGTTGTGGTTAAGGGTGTGGAAAAATCCAATGATCACATAGTCACAGGGAAACTCCTTGAGTTGAGTTCTGCCCGAGAAGTAGCTGTGAACAGAGAATTTGAAGCCTTGCGTCGTTTGCGGCATGAGAGAATCGCCCAGCTCCTTGAAGCCTACAGAGCTCCAGGTGCAGAAGTTGCTGTCTTGATTCTCGAGAAACTTCAAGGTGCTGATGTTCTCACATATTTCTCATCTAGACACGAATATAATGAGCAAATGATCTGCAATGTTGTTTCCCAGGTTTGTGTCTTAACTGTGCTGGTTTTCAATCCATCACTGTTTTTTGTTAATTTTCATAGCAATTTAAAATTTTCAATTTTCTGTTTCAGGTATTAGATGGTCTTCAGTACTTACACTGGCGTGGTCTGTGTCATTTAGATTTACAGCCTGACAACATTGTCATGGCTTCAGTACGTAGCTTACAAGTTAAATTAGTGGATCTTGGCTCAGCACAGACTGTCAGTAAACTAGGCACAATAGTTGACCGAGTTGGACATATTGAATACTCATGTGAGCTTTCCTTTTATCTTTGGTTTGTTATTACTTTCAATTTTGTTTCCTTTTTAAAATCAGCCCTTTTTTTTTTCTTACTAGCTCCAGAAATGTTGAACGATGAACCTGTATACCCTCAATCTGACATCTGGTCATTGGGTGTAGTTACATATATTCTTTTATCTGGTGTCTCTCCATTCCGTGGTGAAAACAATGAAGAGACAAGGCAGAATATTCTCTTTGTTCGATATCGATTTGAACATTTATTCAAAGAGCTATCTCAGGAAGCCACAAGATTTTTGATGCTTGTTTTCAAGCGCACTCCTTCGTATGTCAAAAAGAAATGTTGTTTAAATAGTGTGAAACAGTTAGAGATTTGGAAAATTTACTGTTGATTTGGTTCTAGGAAACGACCAACAATTGAGGAATCTCATGAACACCGTTGGCTTCTTCCAACAGAGTTTATGATTAAAAAGAGAGAAAGAGCTTCATTCCTTGGAATTCGACTAAAGGTTTGTTAATAATAATGAGGTAATCTTCCTTTCCTGCTCCCATTTAACCATGATGATTTAAATTTTTTTCTCAGGATTTCTGTGATGAATACCACACAATGCGAGCCAGACAAGCTATCAATGCTGATTCCTTGGTTGGTTCAATGTCTTCGGGTGACTCAGGCCGAAGATTGACCCTTTCTCGTTCAGACAGCATAACAGAAGAGCTAAGCAACGCTTTCCAGAATGGAGCTGTTGTTTGAAATTAAGCTGAAAATGTGAATGACAATTTAAATGAGCATACCAAGGACTCACCCCTGGTCACAATATGCTGTATTTTTTAAAAATATTGTGTGCTCATTCTCTATTTTCCTGGGGTTATAAATGTGATTGTACAGTTTTAAATGATAGTCTATTTTCTACAGGATGAAAACAGATAAAGTAATTGTATCAGAATATAGAACTGAGCTCAATATTTAAATTTAAAACCTCTTTGTCAAACCAAAATTACTTATGCTAATTTACAAGATTTTATCTTAAACAGTATTCTTCTTTAACTCACAGCACAATGAGTATGTGTCAAGATTAGCAATGCTTTGTGCAGATGTGCAAAACTGTTGGTTTACAAAATTGTGCAAATTCATGTAATGCAGTTACTTATAATAAAAGCTAAACCAAAATTCAAATTTCTACCAAAAAGAGTAAACACACACAAATTTAAGAAAAAAATACAAAGACCCTTTTCCTCTCTAAAAGCCAACCAGGAACAAGGAAATGAGTGTAATGAGTGTGTCTATAGTCAGAACAAGCGTTTAGCTAAACAATTTTGCTGGCTTCCGAAACAAAGCTACTCTCAGCGCATCGGTTGTGAAGTACTGTTTCTGGGGCTGCGTCCAGACAAGAGGATCGCTTGGGTTGTTTGGGTCGCTGTGAGGTATCTGAGTCTGCGCAGAGAACCAAAACGCGGCCTCTGCGCTGGCTCAGAGACCCAAGCGGCCCCAGCAACCCAAGCGACCCTCTTGTCTGGACGCAGCTAATGTCGTCCAGAAAGTGCGCCGTTGCTTCTCAGATCCATTCAGCCTGCGAGACTCAGGGTAGGCCAGCCCGCAGGACACGCATGCACTGCAGAGTGGATGTTGCCTACCTGGCAGGCGCTATGAGAGCCTACAAAGACTTGTTTCGGCGGGGGCCCATACCCTCTAAAAAAAAATACCTCTAAAGTGTAGATTGCCTCTAAAATCAATTATTACCTTAATTAGTCCAGTGCCTCTCAAACTTTAACCTCGACATATTGACCTCTAAAAATGAATTTATTGTCAGAACACCGAGTGAAGCGGGAGCGAGTGGAAGAACGCAAGTAGAGCGTACTACAATGTACTAGGTGGATCCTGCTTTTAAACTTTACCGCACGTTTGGTTTTTCTACCCCAGGGGGCCGTAGCGCCTAACGGGCATTGCAGGTTGGCGACCCGCCCGCCTGCCTGCATGCGGGACAGCATAACCACGACGACTGGCGGGTTCGCCTACCCCAGGTCGCCGGAGCGCCTAACGGGCACTAAGCTTGAGACGTGGATCGCCTCTGTGCAACCGGCAGTTAAAATACCTCTTAAAGCCGGATTCATTTCACCTCTAAAACTATCAAAAATGAGAAAATGTGGGCCCTCCCCACCCCGCTTTGACACGGGGACCCGCCTGTTTAACTTCGGAGTTCGG